GTTGTTGTTGTTGTTGTTGTTGTTGTTGTTGTTGTTGTTGTTGTTGTTGTTGTTGTTGTTGTTGTTGTTGTTGTTGTTGTTGTTGTTGTTGTTGTTGTTGTTGTTGTTGTTGTTGTTGTTGTTGTTGTTGTTGTTGTTGTTGTTGTTGTTGTTGTTGTTGTTGTTGTTGTTGTTGTTGTTGTTGTTGTTGTTGTTGTTGTTGTTGTTGTTGTTGTTGTTGTTGTTGTTGTTGTTGTTGTTGTTGTTGTTGTTGTTGTTGTTGTTGTTGTTGTTGTTGTTGTTGTTGTTGTTGTTGTTGTTGTTGTTGTTGTTGTTGTTGTTGTTGTTGTTGTTGTTGTTGTTGTTGTTGTTGTTGTTGTTGTTGTTGTTGTTGTTGTTGTTGTTGTTGTTGTTGTTGTTGTTGTTGTTGTTGTTGTTGTTGTTGTTGTTGTTGTTGTTGTTGTTGTTGTTGTTGTTGTTGTTGTTGTTGTTGTTGTTGTTGTTGTTGTTGTTGTTGTTGTTGTTGTTGTTGTTGTTGTTGTTGTTGTTGTTGTTGTTGTTGTTGTTGTTGTTGTTGTTGTTGTTGTTGTTGTTGTTGTTGTTGTTGTTGTTGTTGTTGTTGTTGTTGTTGTTGTTGTTGTTGTTGTTGTTGTTGTTGTTGTTGTTGTTGTTGTTGTTGTTGTTGTTGTTGTTGTTGTTGTTGTTGTTGTTGTTGTTGTTGTTGTTGTTGTTGTTGTTGTTGTTGTTGTTGTTGTTGTTGTTGTTGTTGTTGTTGTTGTTGTTGTTGTTGTTGTTGTTGTTGTTGTTGTTGTTGTTGTTGTTGTTGTTGTTGTTGTTGTTGTTGTTGTTGTTGTTGTTGTTGTTGTTGTTGTTGTTGTTGTTGTTGTTGTTGTTGTTGTTGTTGTTGTTGTTGTTGTTGTTGTTGTTGTTGTTGTTGTTGTTGTTGTTGTTGTTGTTGTTGTTGTTGTTGTTGTTGTTGTTGTTGTTGTTGTTGTTGTTGTTGTTGTTGTTGTTGTTGTTGTTGTTGTTGTTGTTGTTGTTGTTGTTGTTGTTGTTGTTGTTGTTGTTGTTGTTGTTGTTGTTGTTGTTGTTGTTGTTGTTGTTGTTGTTGTTGTTGTTGTTGTTGTTGTTGTTGTTGTTGTTGTTGTTGTTGTTGTTGTTGTTGTTGTTGTTGTTGTTGTTGTTGTTGTTGTTGTTGTTGTTGTTGTTGTTGTTGTTGTTGTTGTTGTTGTTGTTGTTGTTGTTGTTGTTGTTGTTGTTGTTGTTGTTGTTGTTGTTGTTGTTGTTGTTGTTGTTGTTGTTGTTGTTGTTGTTGTTGTTGTTGTTGTTGTTGTTGTTGTTGTTGTTGTTGTTGTTGTTGTTGTTGTTGTTGTTGTTGTTGTTGTTGTTGTTGTTGTTGTTGTTGTTGTTGTTGTTGTTGTTGTTGTTGTTGTTGTTGTTGTTGTTGTTGTTGTTGTTGTTGTTGTTGTTGTTGTTGTTGTTGTTGTTGTTGTTGTTGTTGTTGTTGTTGTTGTTGTTGTTGTTGTTGTTGTTGTTGTTGTTGTTGTTGTTGTTGTTGTTGTTGTTGTTGTTGTTGTTGTTGTTGTTGTTGTTGTTGTTGTTGTTGTTGTTGTTGTTGTTGTTGTTGTTGTTGTTGTTGTTGTTGTTGTTGTTGTTGTTGTTGTTGTTGTTGTTGTTGTTGTTGTTGTTGTTGTTGTTGTTGTTGTTGTTGTTGTTGTTGTTGTTGTTGTTGTTGTTGTTGTTGTTGTTGTTGTTGTTGTTGTTGTTGTTGTTGTTGTTGTTGTTGTTGTTGTTGTTGTTGTTGTTGTTGTTGTTGTTGTTGTTGTTGTTGTTGTTGTTGTTGTTGTTGTTGTTGTTGTTGTTGTTGTTGTTGTTGTTGTTGTTGTTGTTGTTGTTGTTGTTGTTGTTGTTGTTGTTGTTGTTGTTGTTGTTGTTGTTGTTGTTGTTGTTGTTGTTGTTGTTGTTGTTGTTGTTGTTGTTGTTGTTGTTGTTGTTGTTGTTGTTGTTGTTGTTGTTGTTGTTGTTGTTGTTGTTGTTGTTGTTGTTGTTGTTGTTGTTGTTGTTGTTGTTGTTGTTGTTGTTGTTGTTGTTGTTGTTGTTGTTGTTGTTGTTGTTGTTGTTGTTGTTGTTGTTGTTGTTGTTGTTGTTGTTGTTGTTGTTGTTGTTGTTGTTGTTGTTGTTGTTGTTGTTGTTGTTGTTGTTGTTGTTGTTGTTGTTGTTGTTGTTGTTGTTGTTGTTGTTGTTGTTGTTGTTGTTGTTGTTGTTGTTGTTGTTGTTGTTGTTGTTGTTGTTGTTGTTGTTGTTGTTGTTGTTGTTGTTGTTGTTGTTGTTGTTGTTGTTGTTGTTGTTGTTGTTGTTGTTGTTGTTGTTGTTGTTGTTGTTGTTGTTGTTGTTGTTGTTGTTGTTGTTGTTGTTGTTGTTGTTGTTGTTGTTGTTGTTGTTGTTGTTGTTGTTGTTGTTGTTGTTGTTGTTGTTGTTGTTGTTGTTGTTGTTGTTGTTGTTGTTGTTGTTGTTGTTGTTGTTGTTGTTGTTGTTGTTGTTGTTGTTGTTGTTGTTGTTGTTGTTGTTGTTGTTGTTGTTGTTGTTGTTGTTGTTGTTGTTGTTGTTGTTGTTGTTGTTGTTGTTGTTGTTGTTGTTGTTGTTGTTGTTGTTGTTGTTGTTGTTGTTGTTGTTGTTGTTGTTGTTGTTGTTGTTGTTGTTGTTGTTGTTGTTGTTGTTGTTGTTGTTGTTGTTGTTGTTGTTGTTGTTGTTGTTGTTGTTGTTGTTGTTGTTGTTGTTGTTGTTGTTGTTGTTGTTGTTGTTGTTGTTGTTGTTGTTGTTGTTGTTGTTGTTGTTGTTGTTGTTGTTGTTGTTGTTGTTGTTGTTGTTGTTGTTGTTGTTGTTGTTGTTGTTGTTGTTGTTGTTGTTGTTGTTGTTGTTGTTGTTGTTGTTGTTGTTGTTGTTGTTGTTGTTGTTGTTGTTGTTGTTGTTGTTGTTGTTGTTGTTGTTGTTGTTGTTGTTGTTGTTGTTGTTGTTGTTGTTGTTGTTGTTGTTGTTGTTGTTGTTGTTGTTGTTGTTGTTGTTGTTGTTGTTGTTGTTGTTGTTGTTGTTGTTGTTGTTGTTGTTGTTGTTGTTGTTGTTGTTGTTGTTGTTGTTGTTGTTGTTGTTGTTGTTGTTGTTGTTGTTGTTGTTGTTGTTGTTGTTGTTGTTGTTGTTGTTGTTGTTGTTGTTGTTGTTGTTGTTGTTGTTGTTGTTGTTGTTGTTGTTGTTGTTGTTGTTGTTGTTGTTGTTGTTGTTGTTGTTGTTGTTGTTGTTGTTGTTGTTGTTGTTGTTGTTGTTGTTGTTGTTGTTGTTGTTGTTGTTGTTGTTGTTGTTGTTGTTGTTGTTGTTGTTGTTGTTGTTGTTGTTGTTGTTGTTGTTGTTGTTGTTGTTGTTGTTGTTGTTGTTGTTGTTGTTGTTGTTGTTGTTGTTGTTGTTGTTGTTGTTGTTGTTGTTGTTGTTGTTGTTGTTGTTGTTGTTGTTGTTGTTGTTGTTGTTGTTGTTGTTGTTGTTGTTGTTGTTGTTGTTGTTGTTGTTGTTGTTGTTGTTGTTGTTGTTGTTGTTGTTGTTGTTGTTGTTGTTGTTGTTGTTGTTGTTGTTGTTGTTGTTGTTGTTGTTGTTGTTGTTGTTGTTGTTGTTGTTGTTGTTGTTGTTGTTGTTGTTGTTGTTGTTGTTGTTGTTGTTGTTGTTGTTGTTGTTGTTGTTGTTGTTGTTGTTGTTGTTGTTGTTGTTGTTGTTGTTGTTGTTGTTGTTGTTGTTGTTGTTGTTGTTGTTGTTGTTGTTGTTGTTGTTGTTGTTGTTGTTGTTGTTGTTGTTGTTGTTGTTGTTGTTGTTGTTGTTGTTGTTGTTGTTGTTGTTGTTGTTGTTGTTGTTGTTGTTGTTGTTGTTGTTGTTGTTGTTGTTGTTGTTGTTGTTGTTGTTGTTGTTGTTGTTGTTGTTGTTGTTGTTGTTGTTGTTGTTGTTGTTGTTGTTGTTGTTGTTGTTGTTGTTGTTGTTGTTGTTGTTGTTGTTGTTGTTGTTGTTGTTGTTGTTGTTGTTGTTGTTGTTGTTGTTGTTGTTGTTGTTGTTGTTGTTGTTGTTGTTGTTGTTGTTGTTGTTGTTGTTGTTGTTGTTGTTGTTGTTGTTGTTGTTGTTGTTGTTGTTGTTGTTGTTGTTGTTGTTGTTGTTGTTGTTGTTGTTGTTGTTGTTGTTGTTGTTGTTGTTGTTGTTGTTGTTGTTGTTGTTGTTGTTGTTGTTGTTGTTGTTGTTGTTGTTGTTGTTGTTGTTGTTGTTGTTGTTGTTGTTGTTGTTGTTGTTGTTGTTGTTGTTGTTGTTGTTGTTGTTGTTGTTGTTGTTGTTGTTGTTGTTGTTGTTGTTGTTGTTGTTGTTGTTGTTGTTGTTGTTGTTGTTGTTGTTGTTGTTGTTGTTGTTGTTGTTGTTGTTGTTGTTGTTGTTGTTGTTGTTGTTGTTGTTGTTGTTGTTGTTGTTGTTGTTGTTGTTGTTGTTGTTGTTGTTGTTGTTGTTGTTGTTGTTGTTGTTGTTGTTGTTGTTGTTGTTGTTGTTGTTGTTGTTGTTGTTGTTGTTGTTGTTGTTGTTGTTGTTGTTGTTGTTGTTGTTGTTGTTGTTGTTGTTGTTGTTGTTGTTGTTGTTGTTGTTGTTGTTGTTGTTGTTGTTGTTGTTGTTGTTGTTGTTGTTGTTGTTGTTGTTGTTGTTGTTGTTGTTGTTGTTGTTGTTGTTGTTGTTGTTGTTGTTGTTGTTGTTGTTGTTGTTGTTGTTGTTGTTGTTGTTGTTGTTGTTGTTATTATTATTATTATTATTATTATTATTATTATGTGTTCGTGTAACATGTATGCTTCGTAAAGATTTACTGCGTGCTTTATTTCTAATTTTCTTTTTTTTCCAATTTAAATAATGATATAATTATTTTTATTGATTATTTTATTTTTTTATTATGCTTTTCCTAGATTGTTATGTTCGACTTATTCTTATTACTTATTGTTTATTTTTATTTTATTCAGATGATAGACAATTTAATAATAGTCCTCGCAAGTGCACGAGTCGCGGTAGTACAGTGCTCAAGTAAGGGTCGAATCCACGGGGAAAATGCAACTAAGTAATTGGAAAACTATTAATTAAAAATAAAAAAATAAAATTAATTTAACTAAAAGAGAGATTTGAGAATGTTTTGATTTGAAACTGAAAAGTAAAGCTTGAATTAAAATGGATGCAAGGAATTTAATTGATTAAAAATAAAGTGATCAAACAACTGACGGAAAATTGATTGAGAATTTAGAAAGAGAAAAATAGTCCAGGATTATGAATCAGTCGCTAATTTTTAGTATTTGTGATTTAGTTAGTCAATTAGAATTGAGGGTTCGTTCTAGGCAAAAATATGACTATTCCGTATGGCGTCCAGAATAAGTCAAGTACTTTAACTATTAATTAAAAGGAAATTATTAATTCAATAGTTAAAATCCATTAATCACAAAAGAACTACGGAAACCCGATTTCAGAACCAAATAGATAATCTAACAAGACAGTTCAATTATCTATTCTTTTATCCAAAAGAGCTCGAATCAATAGGCATGGCATGTACTCTATTAATCCACTCAAACAACTTAATTAATCATGCTAAAGTTGGCCAGAAGTTAACACAATAAATTAAGCGAATAGGAACAATGGATAAAACTCAATCAATTGACTAAACTAAAATCACAATTTATACTAAATCATAGCAACTTCATCATAATCCAGGACCAAGAAATTTAGCTACTCATAGAAAAAGAATATAAAAAAAAGTAATAACAGTAATGCAATTTATTCCTACCATCTAGAAATAATACCGAATAGCAATACTGGTTCAATGTTGAGTAAATTTCAGAAGCAAGAATAGAGTATACGAAGAAGGTAAATACAAAGTTGAAACCAGATTAGTCACCCAAAAAGCTCTGGTTGGCTGCTGCCAGTCCGGCTTATTCACCTTCTCTGCCGAAACCCCTTGCTGCCGAATAGATGGAGCCACCCCCCAAAAAATAGATCCGAGACCCCTAAACCCTTTCTGCTGCACTCTCCTTCTTCTTGGGCTTTTTTTCTTCTTCTTGGGTTGCTGGTGCGGATCTTTTTTTCTCTTTTGATTACTGGACTCCAACTCTTATTTTCTTTTTGCTATTGCTGTCTAATTAAGAGGAGTAATCCTCTTTTTCTTTTCTTTTGATGTTTGCTGCGCAGGAGTCTTTCTCCAGAACAAAAAGTGTTTGGCTTGCTTCCTTTAATTTTTCAACTGGAAAAGGATAAATCTCCACAATTCAGTCCAAGAGTCCTCAAATTCTTCAATTAAAGTTCTCACCTATAAAAATCATTTTTAACACAAAATATAATTAAAGCCTCTCAATTAGGTAAATAATAAGCATAGAATTGTGACAAAAATGGATCACAAATTCTGGCTCATCAAACTCCCCCACACTTGCATTTTGCTTGTCCTCAAGGAAAATTAATATCAAGAAACAATTCAGCAACAAGCGATCAATTATTCCCTTCCACTCACCAAACATTCCAACAAACCCCTCCATGACAAGATATCCCCAAGAAAATCAAATTAAGTATCCACCACAATGCCAAACTCAAGATCAATCACCTAGACTCACATGCCATTAGTAGAGATGTATTTTACAATTCTAAATGACCTAGTGAGATGCTCAAGTAACTTTCACAGAAATTATGCAAAGCCCCCAGTCATTCAGTGAACACTCTATAGTCATCTTATGCTCTTCCTTCCACCTTATTAAAGCACAAACTCATCAAGATCACTTAGGACTTTTATTAGGGTCGTAACATGGCTATGGGTGATGGTTTAATGAAAGAAAGGATATGGAGTTCAAAACAAAACAAAAGAGGAGACATTTTCTAAACCAAATTGATCCTAGGAAGAGTTCAAAAAATGGTAAAGGAGCACAAAAAAAACTATTACAACAATCAACCGGCTTCTACGACAATGGAGTACATACAAGAAGTGAAAAGAATACAAACTTCAACTCAACTCTTTTTTTTTCTTCTTTTTTTCTTTTTCTTTTTTTTTTCACTTTTTTTCTTTTGGATTTTCTCTTTTTTTTTTCGTTTTTTTTTTTCTTTGTATTTTTTTTCAGCTTTTTTTTTAATGCTACATCAACACTACTTTTAAAAGGAAACGTCAAGCTTCCATAACAAAATTACATATACAAACAGCCGAAAAAAAAAATGCTCCAATAAGATGAAAACTCTTCCAAGTCACAATTTAAGTAAAAAAAATGTCAACTCAAGGGTGATGGGATAATTTTTGGCTATTTGGGCTCGGGTAAATAATGGTGGGTAATAACAAAGAAATTATTAGTCAAAGCACGGTAGAATGCTACAAGACCAAGTAGGCTCAAATGGGTAGTTAGCGGAAATAAAAGGCAAAGGGTAGGCTAAGAGGTTTGGGGCTATGAAAAATGGCCTAGATCACTTCTCAATCAATTCGCACAATAACTTAGCTTCCAAAAGAGCAACAAGACAAGTTCTATCATGTTAACTAAAAGACAAAGAACTCACACTCTTTCCAAGAATGCTAGAGATGCATCCCAGAAGATAATAAAGAATTGAGAAATACATCAAAATTAATGGCACAAGAGACTAAGAAATTGACTCCAAGTAAAAACAATGTCAGGAACTCAATCAAATTCAAGAGAAACTTATCATAGAGACCACCAATCATACCACATACCAATGAAAGGGAAACTTTTCACAGCTTAAAGCAAAAAAAAAGTAATCCTGAAATTAAACTTCTCTTAAATTCAAGCAAGAAAACTGTTTTTTTTTTGCAGTTTTTCTGATTTTTTTTTTTTGCAGTTTCCAAAACTAAAATCAAACTAAATATGAAAGCTACTCCTCCCCCACACTTATTTCAAACAATGAAACAATATGCACAATGAACGATTAATAAAAAAAGGAAAGGAGAAAAAGATACTCCCTGAATGCACTTCAAAACAGTAACCTCTTGAAATATAACCTGCAAAACAGAAAGAACAAAGAAAGAAAAAGAAAACAGGATGGGGAGAGGGAAACAGAATTAAGAAAATGACTCTTTTTTTTGTTTTTGATTTTTTTTTTTAAACATGTGATTAAACACAACAAGAGCAACGATGTTCCCAAAGATCAAGGCTTTCAACTCGCTCCACTGAATCTCCACCACATGAATATCTCTTCACTCTCTCACCATTCACTTTAAAAATATTTCCGGATTTTGGATTTTCAAGCTCAATTGCACCATCCGGAAAAACTTGGCGAATAAAAAACGGACCAGTCCACTTAAACTTTATTTTTCCTGGAGAAAATCTTAAATGAGAGTCAAGCAACAACACTTCAATTCCAGGTTTAAAATCTTTCCTTAAAGTGGACTTTTGGAGAAAACAATTAGTGCACTTTTTGCAAACTTTTGCGCTCTCAAAAGCATCATTCTTAAGCTCATCTTCCTGCAACTTGTCCAAAGAAACAATAGGATCACGAACATCTAGTGCAAAGCAAGGACTAGAATCAGCGGGCATGCTCATTGATTTCAAAATGGAAAACTCAACAGTTTCATCAAGCACACTCATGGTCAATTTTCCATTCTGAACATCAATCATTGTTTTTGTCGTAGCCATAAAAGGTCTACCAAGTAAAATTGGCATGTCTTTCACATATCTGCACCGATCATCCATATCTAAAACCACAAAATCAGCAGGAATAATCAACTTATCCACTTGAACTAAAACATCCTCTATTATGCCCCTAGGATATCTAATGGAATGATCAGCAAGCTGTAGGGACACAGTAGTGGATTTTAGCTCATTCAACCCTAATTTCAAATAAACAGAATAAGGCATCAAATTAATACTTGCCCCCAAATCAAGCATAGCTTTTTCAGATTTAGAATTCCCTAAATTAATGTTGATAATAAAACTGCCAGGGTCTTCTAATTTTGGGGGCAAATCTTTTTGCAAAACATCACTAACAGCCTTAGAAACAAACACTTTTTCATTTGATTCATACCTACGCTTTCTAGTGCTCAATTCTTTCAAAAACTTAGCGTAGGCAGGCATGTTTTTTATCATGTCAAGAAGAGGCAAGTTCACATTAACTTTGGACAACAACTTATAAATCTCTTCAAAAGAACTGTTAAGCTTAGAACTTTTTAACCTGTTTGGAAAAGGAACGGGTGGAACATATGGCTTAGGCGGCACATATGGATCTTCAGCTTCGTGCAGCCCGGTCTCCTCATTCACTGATTCAGCTTCAAGTTCTTTATTTTCAGCTTCTACCTCTTCTGGTGGCTTCAAAATGGGCTGCCTTTCATCTTTCTCAATTATCTTCCCACTTCTAAGAACTGTGACAGCTTTTGCCTCCTCAATGTGGCTCGGTAGCTTCCCTTGCACATGGCCTTGTAAGCATTCAGCAATCTGTCCCACTTGTATCTCTAGCTTCCGCAAAGAGGCCTCGGTGCGCTGAAAACGCTGATCGTTTGCTTGCTGATTTTGGGTGCAGATTTGCATGAAAGTTTGCAAAGTATCCTCCAAAGCAGGCTTCTTTTGGACAGGTGATGGCTGGTTGCTTTGTTGTGTGTTACTCCAAGAGAAATTATGATGGTTCCTCCAACCGGGATTGTAAGAGTTTGAGAATGGCTCATTTCTTGGCCCGTGATTGTAGGAGTTCATCATATGAGCTTGCTCAAAACCAGCTTCAGGTACTGCATGCACAACGGGAGTAGACATGCTCATTGTCATCACATAGCACATATTCTTCATCTGTTTGGACAACTCGGACATCTGGATGGCTAGTTCTGTCCCAACTCCCACTTCATAAATTCCTGGAGTTCTGCCACACACACGCTTCTGTTGTGAATTGGCTCCGAGCATATCAAAAAGCTCTAAAGTCTGTTCTGCGGTCTTCTCTCCCATTGCTCCTCCAGCTGCGTTGTCAACAATAGCTTGGCATCCTTGGTTTAAACCGTCATAAAAGGTCTGATTCTGGAGCGCCAATGAATAACCGTGGTGAGGGCATTGAGTGAGTAGCATCTTGAATCTTTCCCACGCCTCATGAAATGGCTCACCTTCAGCTTGAGTAAAAGTGGCAATCTTTCTTCTTAATTCTGAAGTTTTCGACTGAGAATAATACTTGCCAATGAACTTATTGTACACATCATTCCAAGTGCGCAATGAACCAGGTGTTAAAGACATAAACCACGTCTTCGCAGCATCTTTGAGAGTGTAGGGAAAACACCTCATCCTCAGCTCATCTTCAGTCACTCCTTGCAAAGGGAAATTCTGGATGATGCCATAGAAGTCTCGAATAAAAATCAACGCATCCTCAGAAGAAAGCCCATAGAAAGATGGCAACTGATTAAAGTGAACGGTCTTCAAATCATAATTGCGGGCAGCTTCACTCAATACAATGCAAGACGGGGAGACACCCACAGTTGGTCTCCCGAACTCTTTCATCAGTGTAGCGTCACCCATTGTTGGATTAGAAGCAAATTTGAGCCTCCTCTTTGTTCTCTTGTGAATAAAATCAACTTGGTCGTTCAATGATAGTAAATCTGGATTAAGGGACCTGTGACCAAGCATACAACAAAAAACACGAAAAAAAAGAAAGAAAAACAAACACAACTAACTAAAATAAAACTAAATTAACAATTTTCCAAAAACTAGTTAAACAAATTCCCCGGCAACGGCGCCAAAAATTGATAGACAATTTAATAATAGTCCTCGCAAGTGCACGAGTCGCGGTAGTACAGTGCTCAAGTAAGGGTCGAATCCACGGGGAAAATGCAACTAAGTAATTGGAAAACTATTAATTAAAAATAAAAAAATAAAATTAATTTAACTAAAAGAGAGATTTGAGAATGTTTTGATTTGAAACTGAAAAGTAAAGCTTGAATTAAAATGGATGCAAGGAATTTAATTGATTAAAAATAAAGTGATCAAACAACTGACGGAAAATTGATTGAGAATTTAGAAAGAGAAAAATAGTCCAGGATTATGAATCAGTCGCTAATTTTTAGTATTTGTGATTTAGTTAGTCAATTAGAATTGAGGGTTCGTTCTAGGCAAAAATATGACTATTCCGTATGGCGTCCAGAATAAGTCAAGTACTTTAACTATTAATTAAAAGGAAATTATTAATTCAATAGTTAAAATCCATTAATCACAAAAGAACTACGGAAACCCGATTTCAGAACCAAATAGATAATCTAACAAGACAGTTCAATTATCTATTCTTTTATCCAAAAGAGCTCGAATCAATAGGCATGGCATGTACTCTATTAATCCACTCAAACAACTTAATTAATCATGCTAAAGTTGGCCAGAAGTTAACACAATAAATTAAGCGAATAGGAACAATGGATAAAACTCAATCAATTGACTAAACTAAAATCACAATTTATACTAAATCATAGCAACTTCATCATAATCCAGGACCAAGAAATTTAGCTACTCATAGAAAAAGAATATAAAAAAAAGTAATAACAGTAATGCAATTTATTCCTACCATCTAGAAATAATACCGAATAGCAATACTGGTTCAATGTTGAGTAAATTTCAGAAGCAAGAATAGAGTATACGAAGAAGGTAAATACAAAGTTGAAACCAGATTAGTCACCCAAAAAGCTCTGGTTGGCTGCTGCCAGTCCGGCTTATTCACCTTCTCTGCCGAAACCCCTTGCTGCCGAATAGATGGAGCCACCCCCCAAAAAATAGATCCGAGACCCCTAAACCCTTTCTGCTGCACTCTCCTTCTTCTTGGGCTTTTTTTCTTCTTCTTGGGTTGCTGGTGCGGATCTTTTTTTCTCTTTTGATTACTGGACTCCAACTCTTATTTTCTTTTTGCTATTGCTGTCTAATTAAGAGGAGTAATCCTCTTTTTCTTTTCTTTTGATGTTTGCTGCGCAGGAGTCTTTCTCCAGAACAAAAAGTGTTTGGCTTGCTTCCTTTAATTTTTCAACTGGAAAAGGATAAATCTCCACAATTCAGTCCAAGAGTCCTCAAATTCCTCAATTAAAGTTCTCACCTATAAAAATCATTTTTAACACAAAATATAATTAAAGCCTCTCAATTAGGTAAATAATAAGCATAGAATTGTGACAAAAATGGATCACAAATTCTGGCTCATCATCAGATCAGATCAGAAAAATTCAGATCAGATCAGATCAGTTCAGATCAGAAAGATTCAGATCAGATCAGATCAAGAGCCTTCAGATCACATCAGAAAGATTCAGAACAGATCAGACCAGATCAGAAACATTTAGATCAGATCAGAAAAGTTCAAACATCATTAATCATTTTTATTATAATAATAATAATAACAATAATAAAAAATAATAATAATAATAATAATAATATTTATTATTATAATTATAAGTATAATTATAATAATTATTATTATACCTAATACACTAATTAAAATTATAGGCAATGATAATTATAATTACAATTATAATTATAATTATGATCATGATTACATTATAATTATAATTATAATCATAATCATAATTATACTCACAATTATATTATATATAATTAAAATAATAATTATAATTATATTTATATTTATAATTATATATATAATTATAATTATAATTATATTTAAATATAATTATAATTATAATTATAATTAAATATAATTATAATCATAATTATAATTATAATTATAATTATAACTAAAAATTTAAATATAGTTATAATTATACCAATAATTATAATTAGTGTAATAGGTTTAATTATTTTAATCATAATTTTTATTTTAATTATATTTATTTTATAATTAAGATTATAATTATAACTATTTTATAATTGTGATTATAATTATAATTACATTTAAATTGTATTTATAGTTACAATTATAATTATAATATTTATAATTATAATCATAGAAATATTCAAATCAGATCAGATTAGAAAGATTCAGATCAGATCAAAAGGATTCAGATCAGATCAGAAAGATTCAGACCAGATCAGAAAGATTCAGATCTGATCAGAAAGATTCAGATCTGATCAGATCAGAAAAATTCAGATCAGATCAGATCAGAACTTATAATATTCAGATCAGAAACATTCAGATCAGGTGAAGAGAACAGCTTCTAAACCGAAATGTTAGCCTCTAAACATTAATGAATGACTGAAGTCTCTAGACATTATTAAATTTATTGTATGAACATGTTTAATGAATGAGTGAAGTCATTTAATGTTTGGAGATAAATTGTTTGCACTTGATTAACATCTTGAACTTACACTCGTGAAAGGAAAAACTACCAAAATAACACTAATTTTAGTTTACAAAATGATAACATATTTATGGACTTTCAAAATTCTGATTTTACACTGCAAAATCCCCCAGGGTAATACTAACCAATTATGAACTTTACCCATTGTACAAAAAGAATTACACCAACCGTATAAATATCCAAAGAGCAGACATGATGATGAAGGCTTTTATGTGAGTTGGAACAGCATGCAATGGATGATTTTGTATTATGTTTTCTATCACTGGAAAGAGAATCTTGCCACAAAAAAAAAACAAATGCCCTGGGAAATATGGTCAAAATCAATGGGCAGCTCCAAAAAGAAGACACAATGGTGAAGGACCAAGATCAGTCAACAAATTAAGATGATCTTCTGATTTAAATGGTGATGTATTTAGCTTTGGAAATGTTTGATTTGTAGTAGTTATAGTTATTTATAATAATTGTACGTGATTCATTAGAGATGAAATAATTGTGTGTTATTAGGTGGAAGAGATCAAGAATTGAATGGCATTGTTGTGAATGTGTAAAGTTTTATGTGTAATGTTCCCTAATCAATGGTTATGTATTTGGTAATTTTATCTGAAATATTGACGTGCACTCTGTCGTGGTGTGCACTCAAAGTAATAATACAATACAACAAATATACGTAGTATATTGAAGTAAGGTTCGTATCCACAAGGAAAGGAATACTCTTCTTTTTATAGAACTTGTAACAAAAGGGGTTTTTTAGTTTGATTTGGTTTAATTAAATTAAACACGAAGATGAACGAGTTATGTGGTTTACTTAATAGAGATGAAGACTTGGCTTTGCTTTTATCCACTTAATGAAATGTTCGTCAATCCCGGTTATATCTTTAACTATCTTCCTCTCGAATACTCAATCGAGGAGTATATCCAGTTCATCGAGGGTAGTTGTTAATAACGAGATGCGTTCATTAATAAAACTTACTATCGAGTCAATATAGAACAAGCGCCGTATATTAACTTGATAGTAGCAATAAACTTAAGATGAAAACGATTGAGATTGATAACCTCAACACAAGCGGTTTATTGGTTTAATCAATATAATTAATTCCTCTTAGATTATTAACCATGAGATGCATGCATTAATGATCCAAGTTTACTACCACGAAAGGACCGAATTAATAACAAGCGTATTAATCGACCGATTATAGTATTAATTAATATATGAAACAAAACTAGTTAATCCTTTAAGTAATGTTCAAAATATTAATATGAAATATGAATAGGAATTAATGAATACTCAAGAAAGAATATTAAAGAAGATGAATCCTACTATAGTTAATATCAAGATGTTAACTAATTGTCATCTTAGTAACACTCCCCAATATTAACGTAGAGGAAGAAATAACTATTACTATAACTAATGTCAAGATGTTAACTAATTGTCATCTTAGTAACACTCCCCAACATTGATATAGTAATAGTATTTAAAGGAAGAATTAATATTCAAGGAAGAAGATTAAAGAGAATAACTCACAACTTACAAATTCATTAAGCTTCAAAGTAGCAAAACCAAGATATGGAAGTTTAGCTCCTCATTTGGAGACTAAACATACTAAAAGAAATATAAAGAAATGCTATTCTAAACTGAGCTTAAGAGTATAAAGGAATTGATATCCAATTGTGAAGGAAAGGGAGTGTATTTATAGGCTTTTTGGGAGTGCAGCTCGGGTACTCGATCGAGTATATACAGATACTCGATCGAGTATGTGTAGAAACTCGAATTCGATCCATACTCGATCAAAATTAGAGTAAAATTTATAGCCATACCCGATCGAGTATGTCGGTGTACCTGATCGGGTATAGACACTCGATCGTGGTCAAAATCTTCCCTGCATGTTCCTTTGTTTTCGGATCCGATCCGATTTGAAATTTCAACAACATACCCGATCGAGTATATACAGATACTCGATCGAGTATAGACCAAAAATCAGGATCTTCCCTTTTGTCTTGTGATTTTGCACCTTCCTTCCACTTTTGGGGTTCACCAACCGTCCTTTGAGTGATAGTAGACCTGTTTGAGCTCAGAATAAACCTAATCTAAACAATTTACAAGAATTTAACAAACTAAACTATTACACCAAAAGTGTGTAATTTCCGAAATATTAAACAACCAAAACTAGCTAAAAACATAAACACACACATGGAAATTACAAGTGTATCAAATATTCATACAAATTGCTTGGGTGTGGTTATAAATTGTCTATGTCCCAATTTTTATTGTTTGTGGATGGTGGAATCTTTATATGTGTGTTCGCTTATTTTGTTTGTGCACATTCAAATCTATGTGACTTCATTTATATTCTTTGTGCATGGTTATAGTATTGTCTGTGTGTACGTATATTTTGTCTGTGTAGTTGAAACATCATTTATGTCTTCGTCTATATTGTCTGTGCGTGGTTCAATCATTGTCTGTGTGACCATTTATTGTATGTGCATAGATGATAGAGAGCAGGAAGAGCAGGGGGCGGGAACGAGCTTGGGCCCATAATTGACAATAACTGTTGTTTATGTGCTCATTTATTTTGTTTGTACATAATCAAAAAATCGTCTTTCTTCGTTTATATTGTATGTGCATGATTAAAGCATGGTCCATGTATTCATAGTTACAAACAAACTATTTTTGTTTGCATCCGAACAATAGTTTTATGTACTCAAACAACTATTTTCTGTGTTCATATGTATTGTCTGTGTGTGGATAAAATATTGTTTGTGTGTTCGTTTATTTTGTTTGTGTATTCTCTATGTCCGTTTATATTGTATGTGTTTAGTTAAAGCATTGTTCATGTGTTCGTTACTTATGTCTGTGAATAAAACGTAATTGTCTGTGTGTTTGTGTATATTGTATGTGTGGTTAAAATAATTGTCCGTGTGTTTGTTGGTGTGTTTGTTTATATTGTCTGTATGTGGTTTATATTGTGTGTTCATTTGGCATGTGCATTCATTTTCGCATTGTCTGTGTAAATGAAAAACAAAATTAGTTTGTGTATTCATTGCCTGTGCAATGGAGCCAAAGATTCATTATTTTTTGGCTTGAGAATATGATGGAATAAAGCAAAATGGCTCACTAAACTGTCTGCGCTTCTTTGTTATGAAGTAGCAGTCAGCCCATGCAATTTTGGACGTGATTTTCACTATGGGTCATCCGGAAACAGTCTCTCTGTGCTTTAGTACAGAGGTAAGACTGCGTACATCCGACCCCCCTTACCCCACCGTAGGTGGGAGCCTTTGCGGCACTGGGGTAAATGAAAATGAAAATTCATTGCCTATGCATTCAATTATTTTGTTTATGCGAAAATAATTGATTGTGTTCGTTTATACTGTCTATTCGCAAAAAATAATTGTTTATGTGTTCGTTTAATTATATTATATTGTCTCTGCATGATTAAACATTATTTTGTGTGTTCTGTTATTTTATTTGTGCGTTGAAAATAATTGTTTATTTGTATTGTCTGTGCATGATTAAAATATTGTCGGTGTATTCATTTATTTTGTTTATGTGAAAATAATTGTCTGTGAAAATAATTTATTTTATTTATGTGAAAATCATTTAGTATGATGCTGCATATTTCTCACTAATAAACAAAAAGAAAGAAAGATATAGAGTAGTTAAGCTAAAATTTTGATAATTAACTACACAAATCTATAACAACCGAACAAAGGATCAAGAAATAATTACATAAATATGACCAAAATAAAGATGGTTTACAAAAATATGATTC